CTTAATAACATGGCAAAACATTTATACAAACTTTCTACCCGCCTGCAGGTGTTCCATTGCTGAAATCTCCTTGTTTTGGCTGTTTTCACATAGTTGTAACTTGTCTATTGCATATTCTGGCTTCTGACTTCTAACCTGCTTTTGTTCAATGTGCAAATTTTCAGAATTAGTCAATTAGATATGTGCAATTCCATTAGATACGGCCGAATTGAGGCTTCAGTTGCAGAAGAAATCTGTTGCAGTAGCTTTGCCAAAGTATAAGGGATTATTGAGTACAGCTGGTACTATTGTAAGGGAAGAAGATTTATCTGCTCTGGAAAGGCATTGTGCCATAGTTACATCGTCAATGCTTATATGGACGGCTATGAATCAAGTAATATAAGCCTGTAAGTTTTACATAAATTTGTGAAAGTCCATAATGCGTGTGTTGCTTCACTGGGTTTTTGAGTGTAAAACATTCTCATACTCGTCAGCTTAAAACCTCTTATGCAGTACAAGATCACGTTAGAAATGTACCATTCTTAAATGAGATACTTGTTGCACTAACGATTGGTGGGGACATTTATTTTTTTTTTTTGTCCTTTTTAGTTCCAAAAATAAGTAGATATATATGTCTCCAACATCTTATGTAGTTATGATATACGTGTTCATGAACTGTCAATCATTAGTTACTTTCTATTTTGGCAACATTAATTGTTCAATTATATATCAAATAGGTTTTGTTGCCATTAAAGTGGCCAATCCTACTAATCTTGTTAAAGTAAGACTCCGAGTAGAGGGTAAACTGCCTCCGGGGAGTGCCAATGTAATATTTTGGAGCACTAAATGCTTACTCTACAATAGTGAGACAAGTCTTTCTTTGCCTTATTTCGCGTTGTCCTTCTTGCTTTGGGCTACTTTTGGTCTAGATTATTACCTTTTATTTTTGGGCTTGTATTATGTATTGGGCTAGCCCAAGCCCTTTTTCCTTTGTGTTGTATTTTATATATGTAGGCAGCCTTTCGTAAGGGAGAGACGGATACGATAGAATTAATTGAATTGAGTGTTGTAGGAGTGTTTTCCTTTTCCACCGCCCTTTCTTCTCCTCTCCCCCTTCTCTCCTTCCTCCCGTGGCTGGCTATCTTCTTTACCTATCCTTCTCCTCCTAATTTCTTCATTCCATCCTACATCAACTTGGTATCAGAGCTAAACCTGGTTCCAACATCTTCAACTGAAATTTGGAGTCACAGAATTGCCATGGAAGTGATGAAAAGTTCGGTCAAATTCCTATCTTCAGCTTGCTATTCAACACCATAAAGCCTTACCCATAAGGTGACCCATCCATCCTCTCCAAACCACACACAAACATCTAATTCATACACACTTAGCCAATTACACCCAACGCTGTCTCCTCTGGCTACTGTCAACAACTACCAACGATTCCTCAAACTCCCCACTCAAAATTACAGCAACTCAAAAATTGACCCATCGCCTTTCCGAGCTTGACCCACTCGCGACAACTCGGAGCACCCACCCCGCAACCGCTACCTCCGCTATCAAAACCCATGAACGCCGACCGCCAGTCATCCTCCCAGCATCGCCTTCACAGTAAATTCACTCACTGCAACCACCGATCTTCGTCTGCCTAAGCCACCACGTCGTCAGACCAACACAAAAGGTGAGTCAGTGCCTTCTTCGAGTAGCGCTGCTCGTAATCACCTTCACTTAGACCCAATTCTCATACGGACCGCATAGATACAATGGGGAAAAACAACTGGGCCAAGATAACAGTGGGCAGTTTAATTTAATTGGACTGTGGCTTAGTAAATATTCTGGGCTTGGGCTTGGGCTTGTGTGGCTTGGGATTTAATTGTAATTGGGCTTAGTTTTGTGATTTGGACTCATTCATTGCCCTATTTGTTTATATGTAAGTTAGTTTGATTTTGTAAGTTGGAAAAAAAAAAAAAAAGGACCAAAAAAAAGGACCAAAAAAAAGAAAAGAAAAACGAAAAAAAGGAGCAAAATAAATAAATAAATAAAATAAAATTCTATTTTTTAACATCATTTTGCAGGCACCTCTTCTTATCCTGTCGATCAACCCAACTACTTCAGCGAGCAAAAAAGGGAGTTACTATTTTTATCTATATTTGGTTTATATTACTGTTAATTTAAAATTGCGTCAATTAAATTTTTGTGCTACTATTGTTCTATTTTTTTTTATTTTTTATTTTTTGCCTAAATTCATGTAATTGATCTATTAACTTTGTTAAATTCCACTTTTACATCATTTATTTTACGTAATTCGATTTGACTAGTATTTTACTCCTTCTTTTGCTATTTTACATATATCAGCAATATTAGCTTATCGTATTTGGATTTATTTAATCCCAAAATCTTAACAAAAAAATAAAATAAAAATCATAATTGCTCAAGTCTATATTGTCTTTATGTGCAATTGTTATTCATTGATCTCCCCATACATTTCATTTAATCGTTACTACATTGCATGCAATTGCGAGTGGTCATCTTGTCATCCCTAGTGCTAATACTTTGACCAAGGATCCTTCCCAATTTGATGCACTATCACGACAATTAGCCCAACTTGTCACTAATCAACAACAATTTCAGAGTCAATTAGCGACTGTCCAATTCGATATAACTGCTACTCGTGAGGAGAGAAAGAACCTAGCTGCTAAAACAAGCCATTTTAAGTAAATCCCTCATTCGACTGACATTCATAAATCTAAAGTGATCCATAATAGACAATATCATCATCGACAGAGTGATAAAAAATACTTCCGACACGATCGTATGGATAGGGATTAGGTTCGTGAGCAAGAACGAGGTTGTAATCATCACAGTACTCATTCACTTTCTCGTCATAAGAAGAGTTTCTTTAGAGACATTAAATTAGATACTCCTACTTTTGATGGTTGCTTAGATTTTGAAGTTTTTACTCAATGGATTGCTCTTAAACAAGGTAATCGACCAGTGACTGAGTATATTGCACAATTTGAGGAATTTCGAATCAAATGTCATGTCATTGAGGATGAGATCACGACATTTAGTAGATTTAGCAAAAGTCTAAGAAATGATCTTAGGCGTGAACTTTTTCTTCGAAGTGTCACTACTCTTGATCACGCTTATAATTTAGCTCGAGATTATGAATTGACTATTAGTACTCTATATGAAAAGCGTGATCACCATCGTTCGGCCATGTCATTAGTGCCACCTCAACATAAATCTGTCATAGAACCTTTCTCGTCTAGTGTTCCTCCCATTTGGGAAAATAAGTGTAAAGGTCGTGATAGTCCAAGGCCCCTTTCTCCATATAGAAAGCGTATTAACAACCATTCTTCTGTTTCATTGGCTCCACTTCCTTTGGTTAAGTCCCTTCTAGGACCTCCCTTGTACAATGTTCCTCCAATATTAGAAAATAAGGGCAAAATTTTTGAAATTCCAAAGACTTCTTCTCACTTGCAATGTATTAGCTGTAAGGACTTTGGCCACATCTCTTCCAGATGTCCTAAACGAGCCTTAGTCATAGAAGAACGAAGAATGTAATAGAAGAATCGTTAGTAGATCTAGTATATAAACCTAACCTTGAAGATTTTGATGATGATGGTGAGGACACCTCATTAAGTGGCATCTAGACTCTTCCTGAGACTCTAGATACTATATCCCATGATTTCACTAGTTACTTTTCGAGAATTCAGTCGCCTATGGTTAGCACTAAATCGAAATTCTACACTGCAGACCAACCTCAGACTGATGGTTAAAATGGAGTCGTTAACCAAAGTTCTAGCAATTTATTCAAGTCTCTAGTCTAGAAAAATCATGGTAATTGGGACTTGATCCCCCAACTGTTCAAAATGCATATAATAATTTTGTTAATCGATTTCTAAGTCTAAATCCATTTGAAGTTGTTCATAGTTATAAGTCTAGGTGGCCGTTAGATCTTATTCTCATGTCCCCGCATGCTGGTGTATTGTTGTCAACTAAAGCATTTGTATATCATCTTTCTTACTTGCATACTGAGATCAATAAGCAACTTGACACAAGTAATGCATTATATAAACCTCGATCTGATTGGCAATGGCATAAACAATCATTCGAATTTAACATTGGGAATTATGTTATACTGTAAGTTTGTAGTGCTGATCCTTATAAAATTTTAAAGTATGTTTATTTAAATGCATGTGTCATTGATCTTTTATCACATTTTGGCCACCATTCTATTTTAACTGTTAAGAACTTCGTCACTTACAAATGTTATTTTAACCCCTCTGCCGATCCGTTCTACCTCCCATGGGAAGTCTTACATTGAATCTTTTACTATGTCTACTTCAATCCTTCCTATCATAGCACACAAAGATAAAATTTTTGTTATTTTAGATGAACAGATTATGTTGACCAATGATGGAGAGATTTGGAACTTCCTTGCTTGTTAGGTAAATCGGCCTAATTTTGATTGCACATGGATTGTCAAAGAAAAGTTACAACAACTCTGGATTAAGCTTGAGTTTCGATCTTTGTTTCTTACTAAAGATCGTCCCCCTTGGTAAAAGTTCAACCACTCGACAAAGTCGAGTTTTTCCCCACTCTAGAAGAGTTGATGAGGACATCTAATTTTGGGCTAGTTTAGCATTTTTGCTTTGGGCTACTTTTGGGCTAGTTTAGTATCTTTTATTTTTGGGCTTGTATTATGTATTGGGCTGGCCCAAGCCCTTTTTCCTTTGTGTTACATGTAGGCAACCTTTTGTGGGAGAGATATGATAGAATGAATTGAATTGAGTGTTGCAGGAACGTTCTCCTTTTCCACCGCCCTTTGTTCTCCTCTACTCCTCTCCTTCTTCCTCCCCTGGCTGGCTGTCTTATTTACCTATGCTTCTCCTCCTAATTTCTTCATTCCATACTACATCACAAAGTACACATCACATGCACATCAATTCTGATTCTTATTATGCATATTCAGAATACACGATCAGAAGAGAATATTCAAAGACAACTAACTAATGGGAAGAGGCAAATAATCTGAATCCCCAACTTTATTCTCTATTTTATCACAAAATGATCTCACACTAGTGTCCAAAGACTTCTTCAATACCAGAAGAGCATAAATCAAATATATGTGGGATTGTGGGAATGATGTCCTGAACTAGGAGGATAAAAGACTAATCATTTCTATGAAGCAAAGATGGGGGGAGTATAGCATATAACACTTAAAACTGTGAAGTTTCTCGCATAAGATGGTCACACCTTACTCTGACCGGCATCAGGACTCCTCGGTTTCAAGGTACTGGGAATGAGAGGCTGCGATGAGTGCAGCTCCAATGCCAGAGCTGTCTTTGGAAAGCTCAATGTTAACGCTCTCTGAAACCTCCTCCCCCAGGAGCTCTTTAAGTGTATTCTTCAGACAATTCCTGAATTCAGAATACTGCTCAAACAGTCCGCCATCCAACGCAATCACTGACCTCTGCTTCTCACCCTTTTTTACAGTATCTCTTCCCAGTTTTTTGAGAATTCCAAAGATTCCAGCAGCCGAAAGACGGGCCCCACGAGTGGCAACAATTTCACATACTTCCACAATCATTTTCCTCATTTTTAAGGAAGAATTAGGTATCTGTCACAAAGAAAAATGGAGACAATGTGTAACTGCATTAGGTTTTTGCACAAGCAGCCAACTTTAATTGCTCCTCGGATGCACCCCAGTCAACATAGTAGAGATGCCAAAATTTGCTAGCTCTACAAAGAGATAGATGACCATTTATACCACTATGCCTCTCGATGAATACAAAGTATTTTACCTCCAAGATATCCTTTAGTTTGCTCCCAACCAATTTGAGATCAGCAGTATCGTCGTGATGCATTGCAGCCATGACAGGGATCCTGCACCGCATTTTTCTCTCAGTATCTATATTACAAATGATTTAGCACCTCTTTCAGGCCCCTTTTTTCAGTATAGATTTTGTAAAAAAAAGTGATTTTTTGGAGGATATGTGGTTGAAAAGTAGGGAAATGTTTTCGGTTTACACACATTATTTTATTGGGAGGGTTGAAAATGAATTTGGGGAAAAATCAGTTTTAAAGAATGAGGCTCAAGCAAGGGCTTCATTTCCTCGATGAAACAATGTAGTATTATGAGGATTTTATTTGACCAAAGCTATAAGTTAAACCACATCCGATAATTCGTTAATAGAACTACGGTTTTAGGTGCATTTGTTGGACCATGAAAGGACAAAAATGTCCATAAGATAAATGCATCTAAAAATGAGGATTTTAAGATAGATGGCCAAACTAAAATGACTAAATACACAATGAGAAATATGTCAAAGAGTGAAGAGGGCACAAATTATGGAGAAATTAAGGGTAGGAAGAATTAGATAGGATATCTCGCTTAAGCCTCGGGAAATGTCCACAAAAGAAATGTGAAAGATTTGATTCTTTGGACCTTTCAGTACAAATAACACTGATTGAACTTGTGTAGATTCACCACGTTTGTTAGCAATAAGACTAACTTCTTGTATCACTACTGAAATTAGATGGTACATTAGCTTACAGAGATTCTCGTATCCAGCCAGCATCGCCATCACTACTCACCTTATTATGAATGGAATTCTCAGTTTTATCGGGATATCATCACCAAAAAAGGATGCTTCTTCTGCCAACCTGCAAAAGACTCGGCGTACAATTTCTCCCAAATACATGCCAGAAATTATCTTCTCAAAAATCTGAAGAAACAAGTTATGGGTGAGATCAGACATATAACCAAGCAGAAGTAATAAGAAAAAGCTATTGAAATGACCTGCTCGCCAGGGTTTAAACTTTCAGCATCAAGACTTCGATCATACTCTGTTAACGGAAGATGTGATGATCGGAAGTTACCCCATTCCATGTTTATAACTTGCAAAAGTGAAGCAAAATCTAGTTAATAATATAGATCACAACGATGTCCACGCATGGCTAAATAAACGGGCGGTGAAAATTGATGAAGCATAAAGGGAGAGATGATCAATGATGAAAGGACAATTTATGCCTTGATCAACATTAGATAACAATATACAATCGAAGGATGGAGCTGCTAACCATTTCCCCAGATTTAGGAAGCGGACCTTGCCACTTTGGAATAGCATTTGCCCATTCTACATATGCGGCATTAGTTCCAGTACCCAATATCACCGCAGCAATCACATCAGGGTGGTTGTATTGTCCTCCGGCTAATGTTCCAACTGTATCATTGACCTGCATACCCCGAGGAAGATATTGAAGTTCTAATTTATTAGATATTCTACAAGTTAAAGTTTGGTGTAAATGGTCGGCCAAAAGGAGGCCGGACCAAGATTTTGGTCCATAGTTCAACCTTCAATGCTCTCTCACGATCATGTGGGGTTTTAAGTTCACAAAGAAGTAAAAGGTTACTTTAAACATAAGTACAAGATACTAGTAACTTTGTGTTTCCAAATATGTTAGCACAAGTTATTTTTTTTTTTTTTTTTTTTTTTTTTTAAGTTTTAAATTAAAAAATTATGTATTTCAAAAGTAATCCTGACCTTTAGCATCAAAAATTATTAATTCAAATTTTTCTGATTTCATAAATATATGTTTTGCCAAACAAACCACTTCCATTGGGCAAGTTCAGAAAATACAGGTAAAAGAAATAATTGATAAAGTAGACTATGTGACATCAAAAATATTATATGCACAAGCAAGGTGAAAGTAGAAAAATTTCATGATGGGAAAATCTAGACTTACCAAAGCAGTCACATGCATATCAAGGCCAACTCTTTCCATTGCTTTAGTCAACTCTCCGACAATATCTTGTCCTATCTATTTAAAACCATCAATAATAGATACATTGGAGAATTAGAATCCTATAAGTAAATATGTCTAATCCTCAGGGAGCGAGCACACACATGGAACAACAATCACAGTTCTATTCAGATCCAGCAATTAACCATCAACATTTGTCATATACATTTCCTGAGTCATTAAGGGATGGATGGTAAACTAGAAAACATCAAATTAGAAAGGAAGGTTCCATGACAAAATCAAGAATCAGGTAGAGAATGCACAACCACAAATACATAGGGAGGAGAGAACTAGCTTATTTTCTTTACTTAGTTCATTTATAGCTAAAGGAGAAGTCACCAGATAGATAAGTGGAATGTGAAAAAGAAATGACATATTCTTACATATGACTCACTTATCTACACTTACTAGTAATTAGCTAGTACTTCCTTATAAATAAAATTCAATGAGACCACAGTACTAGTTTACACTAACCAAGCAAATGAATTGATTGAATCCCAGAACAAACCAAACATTAACCAGTTTACTGAAAAGAATGGTTGAAATCAGATCATAGACCTTACATCATTAAAACATCACATATAAGTTGACCAACAAGGGTAAAAATATTTTGGAGCACAGTTAGTAAGGTTGATATGCCAAATTATCTATCACTACAGCTGCAGAAAAAAAAAAATAATAAATAAATAATCTGAAGACGAGTGGATTTTTGTGAAAATCAGCTTCGGCAAGTGGATATAGCTCTCACATTGATGTCAAACACTGTATGTTTGTGTTCTTTGTGCATTTTCTGATTCCCTTTCAGAGTTAGATATTAAGGTTTAATCCTAAAATGAAACCCAAGTGCAATAGGTATGCCTCTGCACAGATAAATAACAGAATAATAAATGCAAGTTCAACAAATAAAAAAGAAAGAGAAGAAAGCTAAGATCTGAAACTAACTGCGTCTTCTATGAGGAAGCCTTTAGTCCACTTTGTAAGAGTCCCAGAAGCCAATGATAATTGCTTAACTGGGAAGGAAAAGGTGAAACCCAGCTCCCTTTGCCTGCCAGGTGGATGAACAAAGTCTTCACCTTCTGTTGCAACAAAGTTTGCAAGTGCCGCAGCAATAAAATCAAACAATTCCTGGAATCACCATGAAATGAAATTTCACATCATAATAACAATTGAAACAACATTTAAAACTGAAAGAATGGCTGAAGACACTTACAAGAGATGATCCAACCATCAAATGTGGAGGAATTGAAAGTACTTCAGGTTCTTTTTTGACCACACGGTTTTCTTTTCCACCAAGCTGCACACGCAGGACTCGGAAGTTTGTGCCACCTAGGTCCAATGCATAAAATACTCCTTTTTCATCGCTGAAGCAGAAATATTGACGAACATAAGCACGATAAGTGAAGCCTATCTCCAGGAAGAGAAACAGAGACAAAACTTAATCATATTAAATTAGTCCAGGATCTGATAGAACTAAGGGCACTACAATCTAGCCGTCCTCAAGATCATGGTAGCTAAAGAAAACAGAATTTTACAGTTCTTAGTATTCTCTCAGAATAATGTTTCCACTATTTGTATCTTGTTTACTGTAAGTCCATTATATAGTGATTGAGATCATTCCTCTGAGAACTTCCATTTCCTGAATATTTCAAGAGAATAATTAATAGTCAGCTAGTAGCCCAGTGATCCATTTGAGTTTGTTTATTTCATGTGTCACTTTGAACAAACTTGTACTGAACCACAGTGAAATTACGATGTAATTCACAGTTAAAACAGAAAGCAAAATGATAAAACAACCACAACATTCATGACGTCCAACTATAGAATATTTTGATGTATCAGAGTAATGATAAGTGGTCAAGACAATCTGAGGATTTAAGTCAATAAGTAAGCTAGTTAGCAGTAATTTTGACTTGATAATGGAAAGTAGAAGCTAATTCAGAATACAACAAGAAAATTATAGATGCAACTTCAATAAAAACTCAAATCTGAATAGTGTTTTATTTTGGAAAAAGTGGAGATAATTGTGCAAAACTATAATAGTATTCAGATAGTACAGGTAGTAAATTATGCAACAAAATCAGGTTACAGTTGTAAAATGAAGAGTTAATACTATGTTTGACTATTCAGGAAATTGAGTCAACAGAATTAAAAACACGATAAAAAGAGAAAAACTTAAAAACAAGAACAGTTAAAATAATTTTTAACATGTGATGATAATGATGAAGAAACTAATAAATGAACCCGATAAGGAGAAGCGGAAGAACCAAAGAAGTAAAAAATGTAAAAAGAATAACAATGCGTGCTTGCATGTCAGAAGGTCCACAAATGAAAGATTTATGTGTATTTAACGCTCGAGTCACTAAGAAAGGCGTAAAAGAGGATTCAGAAATAGGAAAGAAAATAAAGGTCCCTAGTTACGTTTACAACAGACATTAAATAAAAGCACAAACAAATCTTTGTTAAAGAAAATGTCAATTGTCTATTAGCATAAGATTGCCATGAAATGAGTGAACTCTCAACTCAACCAGAACCTTAAACTGAAATCAGAGTATGCCTTAAAAAGTGAATTACAATTCAATGAACTAATATCAAAGCATGTATGGTCTCTCCAATAAAGTCAAGGCTATATTGCGCTTATATGAATCGTATTTTCAAAATAACAGGCTAAAATTATTCCCGAAATATGAGAATAAGGTTTCTTATTCAATAAACAATTTTACCTGTTCAACCACACCTAAAATCATATATTTGCATCGCCACTCTTTGGTTTAGATAAAAATCCGATTTTTTGTAGAATTTGACATAAATTGATGAAATATGTGGTTGAAATTTTGATAAGTTGTGGGTCACACTATGCTCGTGGTTTAAAATGAATTTAAGGAAAAATGAGTTTTAGAAAATGAGACCAAATAGGGGCTAAAACTCAATATTATCAGAGATATAAGAATTGCAGAAGCAATAGAAGCAAGTTAGTGATAATGAGCTGACCGTACACTTGGCATGTTTTATAAGTCAAATTGGACCATACTCGACAATATTAACAAAGAAAAAGTAGCTAAATATAATCTGTCCTGTTCAATCCAGTCCCATAGTGCATTCAAAACAAGTCCGTATAGGCTAATAGCAACTAATCTTCAAGATTTATTCATATGGGAGCTCAATTTACTATTTAAAAAAAAATAAAAATAATATATATATATATATATATATATATATATATAGCTGATGAGCATCTTTAGTTTGCTGCCGCCTTCGGAGGCGAGGCCGGCGTGCATCTCAACCGTCATGGCGTCAGCCACCTGCAGGAGCATACCAGTTGGGGTGCCACACTTCTCTTCCAGCTCTCTCAAAATGGCCTTCGCCTTGGTCCATTTCCCGGAGCTCTTCATCCGGTGTCTCGTCACCAGCACAGCTGCGGCACATACCGCTGCCGTACACACCACCGCTGCCGCCGCCGCCACCTTCCCCATCTCAGTACGATGAACAACTCAAAACCCACTATTCACTTACCCCACAAAAACAATTCACTCTGTATGTTTATTTATGTCAAAGATTGAAGCTTTGATTTGATTTTTGAGTTAGAAGTAACCATTCCACCCCATGTGAGTAGAAAATTAGAAAAAAATACCAATCTCACCCACCTCCCACGTGAGTGTTATGTAATGGTAATGGTTCAGAACCATTATTCTATAGAACAAGGAGTGTAAAAGTAATTAGAAGATGCAAATGGAAAACAGCAACGAAAATGGTGAAAGCTTACCGGGATAATTTTGAGAATGGCCGGGAAATTATTCCACTTTCTCACAATAGCCTAATTTGTTAAAAGTACTACTTTACCCTTATTAAGGTTATTTATGAGATATATCCTTTATCTTTTAAGGTCTTATCAATCAGGTCCTATATCTATATTTTTGAGCCTTTCAAACACCTTTAAATATTCTCTGTATATTGAAAGTTCTTCAAAAATTATAGGTTGTCCTTTTTTAGTTATGTATCCTTTAAATAAGCCTTCTGAAATTTCTTCTTGTATATTTCTATGTCTAGTTATAATATCTTCTACTTTTCGTATTTCGTTATGAGTTCTCACAGAATCAAATCCTATATTATTCTTACAACTATAATCTATATCTCTATATATTTCTTCAATTTTTTCTTTACCAATAGGAAATATAACATCAGATTTTACATCTAGTTTAAGCAGAAAAGAAACATCTTTTTCATCTAAAAATAAAATAAGATTATTATCATCATTAACAGTGGAAGTGGATGCTTGTGAATTGTTCATTAAAGATAATTAAAACATAAGAATGTAAAGCAAGTAAGTAACTTACAGTAATCAAATGAATAAATAGGCTTTCCTTCCAGTATGTTCTTATAGATGCTTTGCATGTACTTAATCAATCTTCTGAATCAAGTAAAGATTTAAAATATTTTTGAAATCATTTGGGTCCACAACTGCTTCCGCAAAAGGCTTTTCAATTAAGGTTGCATTTCTCATTCTAGAGAACTAGTCGTGTTTCCACAGACGCTATTTCACAGTATCCAGAGTCTCTGTTTTCACCTTTATCCAAACTCTTTTCAGAATCAAGTTCCTACTTGGAACGAAATTTTAAAAGATAACTCACACTCAAGGTGCTACAATTTTTGTTAGAAAACTGCCCTTTTCCCCTAAACCATTCATCAAAAACGGGTACTTTAGCATGGCTAACATCCATTCAAAATCAATGTTTTGAAAATCTTTTAAAATCTCTATCTGTACTGCCGAGGAATCATGAGAAACTTAACGAAATCCTTTTATGAAAGCTTTGTTGAACATAACAAACTTTACTTTGATATTCATAAATTGAAATTGTACATGCTTACAAACTATATTTACATACCTTTGGTACTCACCTTATGAAGTTTAAAACTCCATAAGTGATTACCTTATTACACGCTTTCCTATCTTCAAGCTATCTAATATCTTTTTCTGAATACAAGTGGTGTATACAGATTATAAAGAATTTTTCTCCAATGTGTTTTCAGAGGATAGAGATAGATTTTTCGAGATATCTTCCTTCTTCCTTCATGCCTCCTTTTATAGGAAAGTTTGGAACCTTATCTTGGACAGGTGTCTTCCACTTTCTTTGTTAGGTAGGAAGGCATCTTATCTCCACCGAATTCTTCATTGTCTTCTTGCTATGTGGACCTTTCTTTGAAAATTATGTGCCTTATCTTTAGAGTTTGTCTGCCACTTATGTCAATTAGTGGATAAGTGGTCATAATAATGGAGACTTTCTTATATTATTTCTTGTCTTTAGTAGCCACAGTTTTTCTTTAATAAATTTCTTTATTAAAGTAGTGATAAAGGGCTACTTCAATCACTTCACTTCTCCATTTTTGAATCAAAGAATTCTACAGGGAATTCTTCATCGTTAAGAGATGCTTGGCTCATATCTTCAACAACACAGTATTCACAGTGGTGATCACTGTAATTCCAAAGTAACTTGCATAATTCCTTAGCCATATCTTCTGATCCATGCACTTGGTTGGATATAATTGCAGATAATAAATGGTCAAGATAACAAAGATCTTCCTCTTTAGTGGTTATCCTTGCACTGAAATATATAATATGATCTTCAGAAGGATAAACCCATATTTTTTCTTTCTCAGTAATTATCTGAGTTACATGTTCAAATATTTTTTTGTACCCTTTTGCTCTTCTATAGGGCATCATATTAAGAATATCTTGATATCCATTTTTAACAACCTTTTGATTGGTTGGTAAAAAATGTTGATTTGTAAGTCCCAATTTTATCACATGGAACAATGGATGCATATATTCAAGAGAAGGATCCCATTCCATTGTTGCTGAATAGAATCTGATATATATATTTGTTGTTTTAACAACTTCAGTATATCTCTTGATAGCTTTCCTGATGTTGGCTGGAAGTTGAGCTATCTCTTTAAGATCTTTGCTTGGATATATACAAAGTATATTTCCTATCTCAAAGCAATTTCGAACCCAATTGGCTGGTGCTCCTGGATAGAAATTTATCTTGTTGTATTTTGAATAGTGGAGAGTCTTCATCCACTTTCCAATCTCCAAATACCAATCTGATAGAATGTTAAAAATAACAATAAACAATGTTACTTCTTCAAAACTATCTTTTCTCGGCGTTTTTGCTTCATGGCATATTTTGACAATATCTTTAGGATCTATCCTTTCAATAGAAAGTTTGGATTGAGTTTGGCTCTGTGAAGAGCTACCTTCTCTTTTGATATTTGGAATATCTTCATTACCAGTAATAGGTTTGAGTATTCCCTGTGAAGGGGTTCCTATTACTTTCTTTTCTTTCCCTTTATCCTCGGGAAGAGCGCTAGTATTCACAAGTCCCTGCGAAGGGATACTAGGCTTGGTACAAGTATCTTCTACCTCAAGGGCTATATTTTTGCCTCGAAGATTATCTTGGATATTTTGAATTTGAGCTTCCAAATAGGAAACTTTTATTTCAAGTATCTGGACTTTCGTCCTTAGTTGTTCTAGCTCCATCCATGCTAAGATAATCAGGAAGAAAGTTAGTTTTACCTTTTATGTATTCAATGTCAAATTTGAAATATGAAAACCAAATTTGTATCCTAATAATATATCTATTATTAATAGATGGATCGACATTATTCTTTAAAAATGCTTTAACTTGAGTATTATCAGTTCTAATTAAGAATTTCTTTGGCAATAAATAATCTTCATATTTCTGAACTCCTCTTTTTACAGCAATGAGTTCTTTTCTGTTCGTCTCATATCTGGTTTCAACTTCTTTGAATGTTCCCGAAGTATAACCTGCAAGTATTTCAGGACAAGAACAATCTTTTTCACATTTATATTCTTTATGATTCTTTTTAACTTTTAAAACTGCTCCCCAGTAATAATCTGAAGCATCAGTTTCCAAGATAAAAAAATAATCTTCTTGTGGTATTACTAGTTTGGGCAATACCTTCAATTCTTCTTTAACTTTCCTTATATTTTCACAATATTTTTCTTCCTAAGACCACATTATATTTTTTCTTAATTTTGGAAGAAAATAATTTTTCAATTTAGCACAATTTTCAATGAATCCTTCAGCATAATTCAATATACCAAAGAAACTTTGTAATTTTTTTTATCTTTGATTTCTTTAGGAATTCTTGAAGTTTTTCACCAATATGAGATTGCAACTGCAATTCTCCTTCTTTTATAAATAATCCTAAAAATTCAATTTCTGTTTTAGCTATCTCAGCTTTCTTTTGAGAGAGTGTAATACCATGTTTTTTCATGATATAACAAAATTTTTCAAGATGCTCTATATGTTCATCAATATTATTTGAATGAATAAGTAAATCATCTACATATGCAATACAAAAATGAGTAATTGGTTTAATTACCTCATCCATTCTTCTTTGGAATATCTGTGGTGCATTTTTCAACCCAAATGGCATTACATTCCATTCGTATTGTCCTAAAGGATTGGGGGTACTAAATGCAGTTAGTGGTCTACTTTCTTCTGTAAGCATGATTTGCCAAAACCCTGACTTACATTCAAATTTTGAAAATATCTTTTTGTTTTGTACTTGTTTAATAAGGGTATCCTTATTTGGCAAATAATATCCATCAAACTTAGTTACTTCATTTAATTTTTTATAATTTATCACCATTCTGGCTTTTCCTCTTTTTATCTCACTATGTTTTCTAACCATAAAGGCTGGACTGCTATGTGGGCTTTTACTAGACCTAATTAGTTTAGCTTCTAGCAATTCTTTTATCTGATTTTTAAATTCTTTTTGATCATCAACACTATATTTCATAGGTTTAACTCTAACAATAGTATCTGGATTGGTTAATTCTATTTTTGCCTTTACTTTATCTATATTCCATTTTTCTAATGGATTTTCAGAATATGTTTCAGAAATTTCTTTTTTCAATTTTTCAATCCTATTTTCTGTTGTCATTTTTAAGACTGTAACTGGTTTAAATTTTTCTGTACTCCAACATCCACCACACTGGGTTGAAGAACTCTGATGGTTTATTTTTCTATATGCAATTGTAACAGCCTTATTTATTTTTGGTGTAAATATCCTATGTGCACAAGGTGTTGTGAACATATATTTATCAATATATTGTGTAAATGATGCATATTTTAATAGGAAATTTTGTCCTAATAAAATATCACATCCAATTGTGGTTGACATATATATTGTATCAACAAATACTTCTCTAAAGGAAATTAGAAAAGGTACTTGAGTAGCATACTTACTATATACTACCTTATTTCCACCTACTGTTGTAGCAGTTACTATCTTCTTCGAGTTGTATTTTCAGCATTCAGATGGTAGTAAATTTGGTAAACATAGACTTATTGTACTTCCTGTATCTAAGTAAGCATGGAATTTAATTCTACAATAGCCTTTTACATTAAGTATAATTTCAATATATGAACTCATGGGATTAGTACTAATTATTCTTTCCATGATAACAATGATTTCATATTTTCACCTATTCTTGGAATGATAATTGGATTATCATCAACTGTTATCTTTAAATATCATTGGCAGATTTTATAAGGACTATATTTTTCAAGAAAGTTCATTCCTAGTAGAATAGGTGAACGATCTACTCCATATAA